GGGAATTGGAGGCAGGGAATTGGAAGCAGGGAACTGGAGGCAGGGACTTGGATACAGGGAAATCCAAGTCACTTTCGGAACCAATAAAAAACTTTCAATCAAGACAGCAGCTGCCAGGGATTGGGCGCTGCCCCTAGCTCCGGGGTGCTATCCTGACCCTAACTCCGGGGTGCTATCCTGACATGGCTCCTGCTACTAGCCCGTGGGCTCTGGCTGCTATCCTGACCTGGCGCAGGGTTTGAGGTTGGGAGGTGGCCTCTGGCCCTGACCTGGGGTCTGGCAGCTCTCCTGTGACATGGTTCCAGCTGGCCCTAGCCCTGACGTGGCCCTTGTGGCCGTGACGTGAAAGCAGCTGCCATGGCTCTGGCTGCTATCCTGACCTGGCGGAGGGTTTTGGGGGTGGCGCAGGGTTTGGGGTGCGGCCAGTCCTAACGTCACTTTCGGAACCAATAAAAAACTATCAATCAAGACAGCAGCTGCCAGGGCTAGGGCGCTGCCCCTAGCTCCGGGGTGGTGGCGCAGCTGCCAGGGAGTGGGCGCTGCCCCTAGCTCCGGGGTGCTATCCTGACCCTAACTCCGGGGTGCTATCCTGACATGGCTCTTGCTGCTAGCCGGCTGCTATCCTGACCTGGCGCAGGGTTTGAGGTTGGGACGTGGCCTCTGGCCCTGACCTGGGGTGTGGCAGCTCTCCTGTGACATGGTTCCAGCTGGCCCTAGCCCTGAAGTAGCCCCTGTGGCCGTGATGTGAAAGCAGCTGCCATGGCTCTGGCTGCTATCCTGACCTGGCGGAGGGTTTTGGGGGTGGCGCAGGGTTTGGGGTGCGGCCAGTCCTAACGTCACTTTCGGAACCAATAAAAAACTATCAATCAAGACAGCAGCTGCCAGGGCTAGGGCGCTGCCCCTAGCTCCGGGGTGCTATCCGACGGGACCTCTGGCCCTGACCTGGGGTCTGGCAGCTCTCCTGTGACATGGTTCCAGCTGGCCCTAGCCCGGACGTGGCCCCTGTGGCCGTGACGTGAAAGCAGCTGCCATGGCTTTGGCTGCTATCCTGACCTGGCGGAGGGTTTTGGGGGTGGCGCAGGGTTTGGGGTGCGGCCAGTCCTAACGTCACTTTCGGAACCAATAAAAAACTATCAATCAAGACAGCAGCTGCCAGGGCTAGGGCGCTGCCCCTAGCTCCGGGGTGCTATCCTGACATGGCTCTTGCTGCTAGCCCGTGGGCTCTGGCTGCTATCCTGACCTGGCGCAGGGTTTGAGGTTGGGAGGTGGCCCCTGGCCCGACCTGGGCTCTGGCAACTGCCATGGTCTGGCCCTGACCTGGGGTCTGGCAGCTCTCCTGTGACATGGTTCCAGCTGGCCCTAGCCCTGACGTAGCCCCTGTGGCCGTGATGTGAAAGCAGCTGCCATGGCTCTGGCTGCTATCCTGACCTGGCGGAGGGTTTTGGGGGTGGCGCAGGGTTTGGGGTGCGGCCAGTCCTAACGTCACTTTCGGAACCAATAAAAAACTATCAATCAAGACGACAGCTGCCAGGGCTAGGGCGCTGCCCCTAGCTCCGGGGTGCTATGGCTCTTGCTGCTAGCCCGTGGGCTCTGGCTGCTATCCTGACCTGGCGCAGGGTTTGCGGTTGGGACGTGGCCTCTGGCCCTGACCTGGGGTCTGGCAGCTCTCCTGTGACATGGTTCCAGCTGGCCCTAGCCCTGACGTGGCCCCTGTGGCCGTGACGTGAAAGCAGCTGCCATGGCTCTGGCTGCTATCCTGACCTGGCGGAGGGTTTGGGGTGCGGCCAGTCCTAACGTCACTTTCGGAACCAATAAACAACTTTCAATCAAGACAGCAGCTGCCAGGAATTGGGCGCTGCCCCTAGCTCCGGGGTGCTATCCTGACCCTAACTCCGGGGTGCTATCCTGACATGGCTCCTGCTACTAGCCCGTGGCCCCTGGCCCTGACCTGGGCTCTGGCAGCTGCCATGGCTCTGGCTGCTATCCTGACCTGGCGGAGGGTTTTGGGGGTGGCGCAGGGTTTGGGGTGCGGCCAGTCCCAACGTCACTTTCGGAACCAATAAAAAACTTTCAATGAAGACAGCAGCTGCCAGGGATTGCCCGCTGCCCCTAGCTCCGGGGTGCTATCCTGACCCTAACTCCGGGGCGCTATCCTGACATGGCTCCTGCTACTAGCCCGTGGGCTCTGGCTGCTATCCTGACCTGGCGCAGGGTTTTGGGGGTGGCGCAGGGTTTGGGGTGCGGTCAAGCTCCGGGGTGCTATCCTGACATGGTTCCTGCTGCTATCCCGTGGGCTCTGGCTGCTATCCTGACCTGGCGCAGGGTTTGAGGTTGTAGCGCAAGCATAGCGCAAGCATACCTCCTCTGACGCGCTCCCCTGCTTCGGCAGGGGTCGGCGGATTTTGCCAACTCTACTGGAATCAAGAGGGAAAGCTCGCAAAAAGAGGGGGGGCGTATCCAGTTTGACCATGTTTGACCTCTGGAGGCAGTGTCTTTGATCCTGGAGTTCGGCGTGGACCCGGCAATCCTGGAAGAACGGATCTGTGGGCGATGGATGCACAAGGCGAGTGGCCGCTCTTATCATGTGAAGTTCAGCCCACCTAAGTCAATGCAGCTGGCCGATGGCAAGCCGGTCCCTGACAGCATGAAGGACGACGAAACGGGTGAGGCCTTGTACCAGCGAGCTGATGACACAGCAGAGGCTTTGGTGGCACGTTTGGAGGGTTATCATACCCAGACCGTGCCCATTTTGGATCATTACCAAGATAAGGGCATCGTGAAGAAGATTGATGCTGGTAAAGAGATCAATGATGTTTGGGCAGAGGTTCTTGTAAAGCTCGCCTCCAAATGAGTTGTAGTTGACAAGAGCACAGCGGAGTTCCTGGGGATTTTCAGCCCAGTTCTCGCTGTGGAGCACAACTCTTGAGGTGAAAAGTGAGGGATGCGGCCAAAATATATATATATATATAACCTGAACGTGGTCGGCTCTAAAGGGGTCAAAGCTCGTTCGGCTCGAAAGGGTCAGGGTGGCCATGACCAGCACCTGGTGAGGTTTTCCAAATGGACAGCAGTCAGAAAGTCTGCTTGACACAGATTGTCTTGGTTTTCTTGAGAGGCCATCCCGAATAAGCACTTGCAGTTCTCTTTCAATAAGAAAGATGTGAATCTGACCCTCTCATGAAACGGGATATCATCACAGGGAAATTCGATGTCTTTGAAACCAGTTATAGTCATGATCACCTCTTCTGCACACCTCAGCGCCCTTGGGGAAGAATGCATTCTCTATTGTCTACCCCACGGAGGTATTTTTTATTTCCTCTCCAGGAGCTCCTCCGGTGCCATGGCCATGTGCCGCCGGGCGAGTCCCGCTGGATGAACCGCGCCTCCCGCCGGCTGAGCCGGTGCCTGCCGGGGCTGCGGGCGGAGCACGACCGCGGGATGCACGCTGAGCGTCAGGTGCTGTAGCCTGGCAGCGCAGGGAAGCGGAGCTGGCGGGATTGGTGGCCTGGGAGAGTGAAGGGGTGGCGGTGACCTGGATTTGCTCAAAAGGCATGTAGGATTAGGATCAGTGGTGTCTTTTCCGGCCGTCACAAGTGGATGCCTCAGTGTGCCAAGGCTCTCGCTGCTGTTCCTTGCAGCGCAAGGGGCAAGACGCAAGGCGCAAGGCGCAAGGCAATGCCCAGCGGAAAAAAGAAGCGCATTGCCCCAATGCACCACACTTGCCTGTTGCCCTCGAAAGATACAGGAGGCTCAATGCTGGCTAAGCGTTAGCCAGCACCCCCCTGAGGTCAGAAACGCCTGGTGCAAGCGCGTCTGCTAATCGATGCCAGAGGCTGCCGCGAGGGGATCAATGAAATCTAGAAATCTAGGAGTCAGGATGGCCACCGTTGACAAACAAGGTGAATACTCGTTTGGAACTCCTTGGTGGCCTTGGAATTGTGCATCATTCTTGAAGAGAGGTTAACCAGTCCTCCACCAAAAAGACACAGCAGAATGGATTTCCAGCGCAGTTTGAGGCTTTTGGTTGCTTTCTATTTTCGGGAGGTATGCTGCCTCCCCACATGCATGCTTTAAATTTGTCAAATGGAGATGTGACTTTCAGTGGCCGCTTTCAATAGAAGAGGCCTCAGCCTGAGCTTGCTTCGCCAGCGGGCGTTGTTGAAAGAGATCATGCCTCTTGGACAGATTCATCGATTCTGGCATGTAACCTTTGAAGTTCTTGGGATTTCAGAATGTTATAGTGGAACAATTGATGTTGCAGCTCCATCCTTGCAAGAGACATTTTGCGATATCCCCATTCTTGAATCTCCATGTTTTGGCTGAGGGCCACTGGCATGGAGAATTTTCCAGAAGCCGCTCGGCAGGAGCAATGTCACAGAGAAGGGGGTCTCACCCGTCCCCGAGCTGTTTGGACCAGAGAGCCTCGTTCAATATGACTCTCCCCCTTGAACATCGGCATACTGCTGTCCAAACATGAACCGGAGAGTCAACAATTGCGAGCCGTGTCAAGAGTCTAAGTGGGATACAGGTGATGTCTGCAACAGTGCCGAGAAGAAAGCAACAAACATCACATGTCAAACACTCCCACACAATGACGTGACCCAAGTAGAGCAGCCCAAGTCCAGATGCCTTTAGTTTAAAAGAGGGTGGTGGGACAGCTGCTTATGCAAACTGAATCACCGGGGCACATATATAGATTAATGTATATTCAAGGGGGGTGTACCCGGCCTCTCAATTTACATTTCCCGGTGTCCAGATTTCATTCCCAGGGAAGTGATTTTATACATTTACTTCTTGGAAGTTGTAAGTTTCATGACATGGCGATTATGGATGTCCCCCGCCCCCTCTCATACATCTTCCTGCAAAACATGTGCGTCCTCAGGGCGGTTTCACCCCCTCGCTTTCATACATTATCCGAAAAAAATAAAAAAATCAGGGCTTGAGCCACCCCCTGCCTTTCATACATATTCCTAAAATTGTGTTTCCAGAAACACCGAGGGAACAAGACACATGTGTATATAATATATATATATACACATATATATATATTTTTGGGTTGAGATATCCTTTTTCTCTATGTTACACCCCCCTTGTTTGAACATTGCTTTTCAACACCTGTCCACCCCATCTGCATACACTAGCAGGCATGTATGAAACCACCCCCCTCCCCTTTGTGGAGATGGACCGGGTGGTCAAACTGGCACCCTCCACAACACCATTAAAACCGAGGGAACGGTGTTCACTCAAGAGCAATGCTTTGGGTGGTGCCTTTCTATGGATTCTGGCCCCATTTGGATCGTCAAAAAGGAACACCGGACTCCACTGGCGTGTTTCTTAAGAGTGATCCGCGCGTTGCCCCACGTTTTAACGTGCTCTTCAAGGTCACGTGCTCCGTGACGATCCTGCGAGCGCCCATTTTCTTCGCTCGACTTTGGGGTTGGGTCCGTCATCGCCTGACACCTACCATGCGCCGGGCTGAGTCCGGGACAGGGCCGGGCCGATTTCCGGTCAGAGATGTTATGATGTTTGCCAAAACCCACTGAAAAGAAATAGCATTGGACAGACACTCATGGGAAATGATCAAAGAGATTTGAATGCAACATGTAGATCAGATACACAGACATGTTTTGAGTCAGGTAAGGGTTCACACACACACACAAAAGCAAATATACAACATTACATGATTCCGCTTCTCCGTTTGAAGGGGTTGGATCATTTGGGCACGACTCTCTCAATAGTTGAGAGCTTTGACGTCTCTGGGCTGACCGTCCTTTGCAGGGAGCGGAAGGTCCGGATCTTGGGCGAGGACTTTGAGCAAGGCCTCCGTGAACACAGCGGCCTGGAACGCAAGGCCTTGCCATCCTTCTTGGGAGGCGGGGAAGGATTCGCAGAAACTTTTATCCAAGCTTGTGATGTTTGTCCAAGCTTGGGCTGCAGTGCGGGCCTCATGTTGACCGCCGAAGATTGCAAAAGTGAAAAAGCCAACAGCTGGCCATTCTTCATTGTTTGCGTTTTAGATGATGTCCATGTCTTGTGTGAGCCCTTTGAATGATGAGCTGCCAGGCCAGGGGGCAGGTGACCTGGCAATGGCATGGCCCGTGCCACGCCTCAAGCGAGTGCTCTGAGTGCTCAGCAATCCGACCAACTACTCAACTACTTGGTTTCAGACTCTTGGAGGGGAGGCGATTCGACTTCTGTGAGAAAACTTGGAAGAGTGCTTTGTTCGTAGCGATGCCCTTTGTTACTGGTAGCGTTCTTGTTCCGTTCGTAGCGAGGCCAGGAGCCCCGATCGTAGCGTCCGATCGCTCCTAGTAGTAAGGTTAGGAGCCCCTAGTAGCGTTCTTGTCCAGATGACCCCAGCGGTCCAATTTTCACAGTCCATTTTACAACCTTTTCATTGTGCTGTCCCCGAGCTTGGGACACAAACGCGCTGCGAAACGCGCACGCTTGACGAAAAGCGCGAAACGGGGAAACGGCAAAAAAGACGCCTCAGCTCATGGCGACATGACGTTGCTGACATGTGTCCGATGGCCTCCAACCTACACCAATTTTTTCATTGACTATGGATGCTATAGGCTAGGATCAAACTCTGAAGCGCCTGCAGAACATGGACAACATGGACCAACGGCGATGTCAACCTAGCCTGAGTTGGAGTGTTTGGGGGGTTTTTGGGGTGTTGTGTATGGCTCAACATGTTTGGCTTGGTATTTTGTATTTTCTTTCCTTTTCTATTGCTTTTTACCCTTTCCTGTCCTCCAAATTCCTTCCCTTTCCTCCTCCTTCCCTTTCCTCCTCCTTCCCTTCCTCCTCCTTCCCTTCCTCCTTGTCCTTTTCCTTTCCTTTCTTTTCCTTTCCTCCCCTTCGACTTCTGTTTAGTTGAAGGCAACCATGTGGGGAGCACACAAGGGAAAAGAAAACACACGTATTAGGCTCCATGACGGTGGAGATGAGAGCGTCCGGGCACTTGTCGCCTTCGTTCCTAGCCGCAGCCATCCATGTCTTTACCAAATCCGAGCATGTGACTTGTTGTGTTTTTGTGAGGGGAGGTGCTGCGCCCTCTCCTCCAACCCCCTTCCAGCTTCCAACATTCCAAGTGGAAGCCGAAGCCAAGCCATTTAACAAACCAGGCCAACAGATAAAGCATCAATTGCCATTGCCTGGTTTGATCTGTGAGGAGACGCTGCGCCCTTCCCCGAGTCCTCCAGCTTTCTTCGTGCACCAAAGCTGTTGTGAAACCAGGTAGACCAGGTCAAGCGGATCCAATCATGCATGCAGCGCAACAGCACACCCCTGACCGAAAAGACATCGCAAATAAGAAAATGAAACATGAAGCAACTAGCACTACCCTGGACCGAATATCATAAGAGGTGACGCGTTTTCTCTCAGAAATCGAAGACCCTGTGGACCATGTGTCCCATAAAATTGAAGGAGAAACACTTCCCCTAGACTACACAGCCCTCCCAAACTACAGTCCCGGTGAAGGGGCCACTATTCCAAAAAAAGAGCTGGGGCGTGGACCGTTCAGTCCTGGTGACTTGAACTGTTTGGAAGGTGAACCCCGAGCCCACCAGGTGGACCAGCACTCTGCGGAGAAGTGTGTGGTGCCCTCTGCGATCCTCCAGGAGAGGTCGATCGATCCGGATCGATGCCGGCGAGGGTGTTCGAGATCCAAACATGTAAACCGGTGTTCGACCCAATTCGGGGGACCCTGGAAATAGATCCGATCTCTGGCGTTTCCACTTCAGCATTTTACTTATGAGATGTGTGTGTGTGTGTTGTGCTGCAAGATCTGCAAGCTTTGCAGCAACGCGAAGTGTGCCTCTGTCACAGGCTTTCCTGCGACGAGTGCAGGCGTTTTGGACTTAGTTTCGGCCCGATGTCATTCAATGAGGCCCCACGCGTTATTGGATGTAGAAGAGTTTGTAGGACATTGGCAGGCTTTGGGGTGCCACGCCTTGCCAATTAAATAGCTGCCGGCAGAGTTGAAAGCAGACTAGAATCCTTGAACTCCAAACTCCCTGACAAGCTGGTTTTGTGGATGCTGGTGGGGGAGGTTTGCCCCACATTGACTTTCAACATCTTTCAACATGACTGGGGAGCCATGTGAAACCCGCGCTGGTTGGTAACGATCGCATGCCCTCGAGCTGATCGTGCCTCCCTTGGCTCAGACTCAGATAGTCAGAGGGCTGTGAACATATCATCAGAGACCAAGTTGATTTAGACGATGGAAAGCAGGAGGTCTGAGGAAACTGCTCCTTCTTTTTGGAAGTCACCGAATTTGCGGCTGCGATGGAGTTGGAGGCGCAGATTCAGCGGATTCATTCAACCCTCCTGACGCAGAATCAGGAGCTCTCAGGGTGGGAAGCGAAATGCACTCTCCTCAACTAACCCAATAGCGATGGCTTCCAACCTAGAAGCGATGGCCTCCAACCCAGTAGCTGCGTCCTCCAACCTCATAGCCTGTGCTTAGGCTGCTGAAACCAGTCGACCCACTGAACTCACACTGAGAGTCGGTCTGGGCTCGACCAACTTTCCGCCGTTGATTCGCAGGAGCTTTTTGACCGCCTGGACACATGGCTGCTAAAGGCGGCGGATGCGGTCAAGCCGCAATTTCCACACGTTTTTGCCTCTTGGCTGAAGTATCACACCATTAGACAGGAACATGTTGAAGACTTACTTATGTGATTGTGTGATCGTTTAACCCAATTGCACCTTAGAGAAAAGCTACTTTTTCGCTTGGCCCATGAGAGCTGGCATTTTCTGATTCAAACTCCAGATAAGCCTGAGGGCCACTGGCTGATCAGCAACATTTCACGAATATGCGTTGTCTTGTGCAGAAACATCGGTGAGAGACAGGATGAACACTGCATTGAAATTTGAATAATCCGGTCTTGCATGTATCGTGGTTGTTTAGGCTCGCGGAGTGAGCGACCGCGAGCTTTTAGCATATTCTTTCACTTTTAGCGCGTTTTGCTTCTGGGGAGTTGCTTCAGGTGGTGGTGGGTGGGGGTAGGGGTAGGGGTGGGGCTGGGCTAAGTGGTGACTGGGAAGAGCGCAGGTTATGTTGATGCTCTGCTGTTCGTATCTATTTGCAACACTGTACATTATAAACATACATAATAATTTAATGTATCTCTCTCTGTATGTACATGTTTTCTTCCTATTTTTGGGGGTGATTTCGGCACAAACAAAGACCTCGGAAGACCACAGATTCCTGTGCAAAAAGGGTTGTCTTACTAGTATTGTCGAGAATCATCGTCCTCTACCTCTTTCAGGGACAGCCACTCTTTGAACCGTTTGAACTCAGATGGCTTATATAACTACTGTAAAACATATCCCTTGACAGTCCTCTACTGAAACGATCTTTTTTAGCCAGACTGAGCTGCCCATGTTGGATGTGGCATGTCAGAGACTCTGATTTTTATAGAGAGAAGAGGAAATGACGGGCCTCGGCGGCCTCGATTCCATAGAGGCTGTATGAGTTGACCATCAGATCTTTTCAATCAAAGAATGCTGATTCTGTAGTGAAGCTAGCATGGGACTTGACATGTCAAGGCTCTCAATTCTATACTTGTTCCCTGAATTGACTTTGTGACTTGCATGTATGTAAGACAATTCAGCGCAACAATTCAGTGCAATATCTAGTCGGTGCAAAAATGAGTGTACACAGAGAAGTTGCACGTTGAACACGCAGGGCCACCGAAAACAAATCAACAACACACCTATAAAATTCAGTCTGTGAAAAGTGAAAACTAGTGAATCGTAAATCGAACGCGCAGTGCCACTCGGGAGAGAAGAAACCAACACCCGGGTAAAGCAGCGTTTCCAGCCTCTCCACTTCAATGACTCCTTGCTAAAACGCTCTAAGCGACCAGCCCACTTCGATACAAAAACACATGGTAATGTCGCCGTGATCTTGTTTCGCAAGCAGCGGTGCGGCGGTGGACTCAAGGAATTCCATGAGCCGGGCACTTCGTCGGCGCTGGACATGGTGACAGAGCTTCCGCAATTCCAGAAGACGGCCAGCAACAGCGACGCAGACTCCAACATAATGGCGCCCATGAGCCCAGGAAGTCAGGTTGTGACTGAAAGTCGCGAAGTTTCAGACCTACAGCCTCTCGGACTGCTGGAAAAGTGCAGAAACATGCAGGAGTAAAGGTGCATCCAGACCTCAACCATGTCTCGATTCCAGAGGTTTTTAAGCAGGAATCCTGCGATGCACATGATGCACACGTTGAATAGGATGTCATAGGTGCGCCTCCAACTCACAGCATGCAAAGACTTTTGTCAAGCTCTTGTGAAACTTCGGGCAGGGCAGCTGAGCCCGGAATGTCAGGCACTCATTGTCCAAACGATCGTTCACAAGAAGAAACATGACTGTGGGCCTGGATGAATATGAGGAGGCTAAGGTGGGGATTTTCTCAGAACGGAGATGTAAAGCCATTTTGCTAAGGGGTTGTATTAATCAACAGTCCACACTAAGCGACAATAAGTGCTTGCAGCTTGCACACATTTGCAGCTTCTCCGAGATTCTCCCGGCGTGTCAGAGCTCGGACCGGTCCCTCTCCGCGTCACCTTTCGGTCCGCCAGGACGAAGCCCTGCGCATCGAATCCACGCGCATGCAAGAACAGAGACCATCGGCTCATCTCACACGGCTGGGCCGGCTTTTGCAACGAGGATGCTTGGCACCAAACTTGCCGGGAATCTGCTTGCTTCTGGGGGCGTGGGGGTGCGGCGACGAAAGGCTGGGAAGACGAAACGGAAAGTTCAGGGCTTTGCGCACCTGCCCACGCCTCAAATGGGACGTTGGCTCGGTCGAGCCTGCGGAAACGACGATTGTGAGGTCGGGCAGCTGCAGTGGCCATCACAAATGCCCCGGTCTTCAATGTGATCGTTGCCCTTGTCATTGCAACTCGATCGCAGTTTCGGACCAAAGCGTTTTTTCCTCCAAGTCTACAACCGAATCTTGCGGACGAGTTGCCATAGTTGCCACAGTTTGACAGACAGATGGATCAGAGTCACAAGTGCATGTGAATCAGTGAAATCGGAGTGCTACCAGTGCAGTCTCCAGTGCAGTCCTTCGTCGAAGCCTTTTTGGTGCATCAGCAGGTCTCCAACTCCGTCTTCCTTGGGATCCAGCTGCAAGTGGGCGCAACGCAGGATTCACGGGAGGGGCCGGCAGCAGAGCATGGGGATGCGGTTGTCTTTCTCGTGGGGCATATGCGCCTTGGAGCACAAGACCCATCGTATCACATATATAATGATAGAATAGTAGGACCAAGACATCCATGTTGCGACTCAGCCGTTTTTCTCCGGGCTGATGAAGCGCTGGAGGGCATCATGGGCTGGTGCCCAAATCTGAGGATTTATGCCGTGCTGTTCACAGCCGAGATGCTTCTACGGCTCTTTGCGACTGGGGTCAGGACGGGGTCGCAAATCCTTGAGCTGCAGTGGTGAGGTCCAAACTCACTGTGTCAGATCATGATCAAAGCACGGTTAGCTTGGCTGAGACGAAGCAGTTGTGCCATGTGGCCAGGACCTACTTGATCGGCAAGGAATGGTATTGGAATTGGCTAGATTTATTGGTGGTGATTCCAGCCTGGAGTCATGGCCGCAGTGGGACTTTGACCAAATCTGATGAAATGACAGTAAAAGCGGTCCAGATCTTGGTTTGTAGTCAGGCAGTTGATTTTGGGCTACTTTTTGGACACATGGTGAGCCATTCAGACGCCGATTTTGGTAATTCTTGGCGTGCAGGATTGAACTGATGGCTGACCTCATGCAGACCGGGGGAGGTGTTTCGTCGGGAGCCAGCAACCTTCGCATTCTGCGTGTCTTGAGGCCGGGCCGTGTGTGGCTTGAGTCTGGAGCTCATATTCAAGACACATCAAGCCACATGAAACCATCATAGTTGCATTGATAGTTGTACCGACCTCGGCACAGCAACATGTATTTGTATTTAATGTACGGATGGCATGCACTTAATGATGATGAATGCGACGGACGGGACAAGGCAATGAGTTCCCACCCTTTCCACGGTCTACGGTCGAGCGTGTGCGAGAGGGATGCGAAGGCATGTGACATGTAGCTCGCGCGCCGATATCAACCAAAGTGCGTTATAAAGCTAGCTTCAGGCTCTGAATGAAGGCAGGAGCAAAGGGTCCATGAGGGTCTACTGAGCCTCCTGGCTGTGAGTGAGGGGTGAAGACTTTAAAGTGCCAAGACCATCGGATTCCCCTGGACTGTGCTGCTCTGAAAGACCGAGATCTCGCCCTTTCAGTGAAGAAAAACAGCACGGACCCCCCTTGTTCACGGCGGTCCAGGTCCAGGTGGTCCTATGTTGTCCTTATAGCTTCCAACTCAAGCGACGCCGTCGGACACACCACCCGGATGTCGTGCCTTTGCCGAAGGATCACGCGGATGTTGCAAGTGATCCGGTCCGTGCGCTTGATTCGAGTCATCCACGCCTTCCGAGAGCTGATCTTCTCCATCTTAGACACCACCCGGCAGCTGGTGTGGGTTTCTTGGTGGAGTCGAGGAGTCGAGTCGCAAGTGTCTCGAAGGGAACCGGTTCAAAGTGACGGCCAAGTGTGAACTGTTGATGTGATTGAGGCGCTTGGGATTTTTGGTGCGTGATTTGATTGGAACTGGGATTGGTCAGTATGAATGGTCGCTTCGCGACCCCAACCACCCCAGTGACTCCAGAGAGAGGGTAAAAGACATCTACTCGTATATTATATATATAATCCCTACTTTTGGAATTGTTGATTATGTTGTATGTCTTAGTCTTAATTGCATTTTGCACGCGTTGTTGGGTCTTCTTTTCGACCCCCTTGAAATTGTACAATGTGCATGATCGAGGCAAGACTTAGAGATGAAGGCAGCCTGAAGTGGATGACAAAACATATTAATAATCACTTTTTTGGGGGGACATCGTTGGGTACGTCATCATGAATCATGATACATCATATTTTCCGACCCCCCTTGAAATTGTACGTTTTTCAGAGGGTCCAAATCATATGCAACAATGCTTGCAAATCAATCCTGAACATGCACAATTTCAAGGGGGTCGAAAAATAGAGTGATCATATACAATACAATAAGCATAACGCGAACCAACAGTGTCACGCCCCTCAGCCCTTTCCGTGCGGGCGAATGTTGGTTTCACTGAGGCCATGATTTTGTTGGTGTTGATCATCTACAGCTTCTCCATACTCTTCACCGATGCAGTGTTGCAGAACGAGCACACCTTTAAAGAAGTGCCGCTGGGAGAGTTGAAATGGGAAGAAGCCCTCTTCTTCTTTGGTGGAATTTTCGACTCCTACAACACGCTCTTCAGGACGGCCGTGACCGACTGAAGCACCGGTCGCGCATGTTTGGTTTGACTTCGACCGGACCCTTCGGTGGTATCAGGACCTGTTTAGCTGGCTTTGATTGGGTGGAAGCGGCTGATGCTTTGAAACCCTTGGGTGATTTTTGGGTGCAGCTCTTCCACCTGTATGTGCCTTGGATCGTTGTCCGACCAGACGGAGCAACGACCACGTTTTGACGCATAGTTGAAACATGCAGTGTTATTCGCGGCTAGGCATTCGTACGCTCAAGTATAGGTGTAGGTGCTCAAGGGAGGGAACTTGCCTGCATGCATTCACCATCCCTTAGCATATGCACAACGCTCTGTGAAGCGGGGGCAAAGCTACCTCAGACCTTCACAAGACTCTCACCTGAAAGATCGCGAAGTCATGCTGACGCAGCGCATCCTTCAGCTCCAAGGCCCTGAAGGCCGGGTGATCCAAGAACATGTGCTCCACCATACACCGTTGAGGACCAGACAGTCCAGGGTAGGTTGACCACAAGCAGGTTGCACTCAAATTGCCAGGTTGGTGTCCGCACTCGGCGAGTTGTGTCCGATTCGTCCATTTTCGCCCACCAGGCCCCAGCAAGGACCCCAGGAAAAGGAAGTACATAGTACATACCAGGTACCACCCGGGAAAGGCATGTGGCCTGATTTCACACGAACACTTCGTACAGTTTGATGGATGATTGGCGTTCGTTTTCAGGCATTTCTTTCTGCAAGCTGTGTGCCAAGTGCGGCCATTTTTGGTACGTGGTGCTTTTGTGACAACTGCTCCGAAGACCAGCGCTTGTCAGACCCGGCGCGTGCCATACTCAAAGTAGATCGAATCAAACCGTTGCCTTGACACATGACATGACATAAGCTCTTGCACTGAACTGCCTCCTGCTTTTGCCACAACGATGTGACGGACCATTTGGATGATTTCAGTTTGTGGCTTGCTGTCCTGATCCAATTTGAGTTGAGCAGCTCGAAAAACCTTCCTTCACATGTTTAGTCAAGGTCTTGTCATATCAAGCCCCCGCATAAGCAAAACTATAACTATGAGTTTCGCATGGTCGAGCAAGCATTTTGGGGGGGTACAAGGTTGCCGAAGCATGAGTGTAGCTGTCTTGCTCAAAAGCAAGATGGGAGTTGTGGATGAGTAAAGCCAAGTCAAGTACAGGCCGAGGGATTTGGCATGACACGTTTCCGGCGTTTCCATGGACCAAGCAGTGCAGTGCCTCCAGCTATTCAGTTGTGACCTTTAGCATGCACTTTCTAATTCTTTTCCAATCTCCTTAGTAGCAAGGTCTCTTGGACTACCAACACTCCAAGACTCGGCCAGCCTGCTGCCCAAGCGCAGCAGCGCACTATATACTGTAACCCTCCTCATCCCTCCTCCTTCCTTGCTCCCTTGTTTTTTTCACTTTATGCCTTGCAACTTGAAAGGAAGCTTTGGCAGCTGAACAGGTGGCATAGCTGCTTTTGAACACCCCCGCCCGCCCTCCCCTTGTTTGGCCAGGCGTTCATGCTATCGCCGCTGTTAGCGACCCCAGAGGAAATCGCGATTTTATGGTGCTGTCAGGTTGATGCTTCCTCGTTGATGTGGGGTGGGGTGGGGTGGGGCATGTTGACGTTTGCTTGCACTTGCGTCACGAAGTTGATGCTTCGTGGTAGATGTGGGGTGGGGTGGGGTGGGGCATGTTAACGTTCGCTTGCACTTGCGTCACGAAGTTGATGCTTCGTGGTTGATGTGGGGTGACGCAAAACGCGTCGATCAATATGTCCGCAGTCTTCAGTTTCGGTGGAACAACCGAGGAAATTTGCTTGAGGCGTTGGCCCGAACGTGGCCGCAAGTGTAAAGAAAATACACCTGCAAAACGCGTGCGTGCCAAAAAAGAGTGCACTTTCTGCTCTTCCCCAATCTAAATTCCACCTTACAAGTGCTGACGCTTGTGAAAAACGGGATGAAAGCGCATATGATCCAAACTCTCCCAAATGAAAAAATGAAGAAATGGGAGGTTTTGAGCACTTTCCTTTGGCAATGTGCGAATCGCACAGGGTCACTATTAGCGGCGGTACCTTGTGTGGCCAGGCGGTGCCTGCAGGCTGGCTTGGCCTTGTGTGCCAACCATTGCAAGAAAAAGGGCGCATGTGCCACTTTCACAAAAGCCGGAGACAAAGGCATGCGGCTTCTCGGCACCCAACCGTTTCTTCGTCTATATCCTCATCGTTTGATTTGTCCACCTCATCTTGAACCAATGCTCGCCGCAAGGAACAGTGGTCGTTCGCGTAAGCTGCTGTGGAAATTTGCACGGTGCTTGTGCGCGTAAGGGCTGCGTAAGCTGTTCCTGCGCGCCTGCTTGCGCGTAAGCCAGAATCCGAGGCGCGTAGGGATAACGGAGCCATTGGCGCAAACAAACTGATACGACATAGGGGGTTACTTCAAGTCTTTAGAGTGGCTCATTTGGGTCATGTTGGACCGCAAGCTTCGTGTGGCCAGCATCGAGAGAGCGAGAGTTCTTCATCTGAGGTGGCTTTTTGTAGCTTCGCCGTGCTCAATGTGATCACCGGTGCCACGCCAGACTTGGACCCTGAGGCTTTGAGGCTACAAGACCTAGCAGTAATGTCTCTTTAAAGCAAGGTCGCAGTGGATAGGGAATGATGGTGGGCTAGGATTTCTGGCGGAAGGGTGGAGGTAGCGTGCTGCTTGGGGCTTTGCAAGGTTAGAGCTTGGTTCCCAGGAATGGGGAGGTCTTTTCCTCACCCGTGGGACCCGTGGTGAGGTGTTTTTGTGAACAGTGCCATCAAGACGCGGGAGAAGGACCATGAGACGGTCATGCTCCACGTCCAAAAGTTCAAAGACCTGGCGTCCAATGTTTGGCAGAAGATGGACACTCGAGGCCACGGAGGGGCAGCTTAAGAGACCAGAGACGGCAGAGGGCCTGACACATCAGCGCCACGGGCCTTTCTGCTGTGAGAAAACAAAGAAACACCGGAACAGGGACACTACCAAAAAAACAAACCATCCCAGGTATACATATATAATTGTATCTATTTTTTGTACGCTCATCCAACATCCTTCGTCCTGGTCGGACGTTCTGTCCGTTGTTTATTGCTCCCGCCCCTTGCCGGAGGCGACGGCAAGATTACCATTACCGAGTTTGAGCAAATGTTCGATGACCCTGACATGCAGGCTGGTTTTGCAGCAGGTTTGGCTCATTGGTTCCGACGAGCGGTTTTGTTTTGCTTTTTGGCTCGCTGTGTCGGTGGGGCACAGAGCTGACGCCGTAGGCCTTCTTTGAGTCCATTGAGATCAACGCAGTGGATGCGTGGACTCTTTTTGACTCTTTGGATATGGATGGCGACCACCTCATCAGCTACGAGGACGGACTGGTTGATAGCTCTTGAGTCTCTTGCCCGTCCGGACGCGTGATATTCTTTTATAGCCTGGCCCCCGAATTGACCAAAACCTTGGGACCAGCAGGAGCCTGCCGGTGTTGCAGTGTATTTCTGGCATCCCCGATGGAAGAATCTCTCAACACATGGACAAACCAAAAAAATCCAAAAGATAGCGTATCTCTTTCCTTGGGTTTGGATGGTGTTGGCCCGGCCAAAGGAGTTTGTCCAGAGGTGCACCCAACTTCACGGTAATGCCCGATCAGTGGATCTCTTCGCGCTGAAGCAGCTGAATGGCAAGGCGAGTGGGTTCTACGTGTGTTTGCTCGTGCCACTTTATGCCTCAGAAACCTCTGAAATTGGCAACTGAAGTCGGCTCCGAAGCCTCATGTGGAGCCTCACTGTTGGGAGTTCCTTCTCTGACAAGGCAAATAAAACAGAAAGCTAAATTTTAAACATTGAACATTTCTTTTCTCTGGCGGAGCACCCGGCAAAACAAAGGGTTCTTGACCATACATCCCTTTTTGGCCCTCGCAGTCACAACGGTGCTCATCTTTTTTCTAGCCAATTGGCTGAGAAGCCTGGTAAGCAGAAGAAAGCAGATCGGTTTCATCTTTCTCCACTCAAGAACAACTACTGGGGATGAATCATCTGTGCCGGGTACAATCTGCTCCACGATTAGGGAGGTGCGGGGCAAAATAGACAACAACTGTGCACAAGTACAGGCAAATGCCAGTACAGCTCAAACATCCTGAGCACAGCACGGCTTCAAGCAAGGTAGGGGAGCCTAGGATTACAAGGATCCAAAGTCATTGGTAGACTGAGAAACCTTGACATTATTCAAACCACAAAAGTGACCACAAGCACAAAATCTAAAGAGGAAGCTCTCCATCCACCAGAAAGCTTCCATGTGGAAGATCCCAGCACCAGAAACGAAGTCCAAAGTTCACAGGTTTCCAAAAAGAATCATCCAGGCGCAAGTCGACACCCATCCCTGCCTCTGAGAACATCAAGGACACGGGATTCCTTCTTTCTCTCCAAGAGGATCTTCGATAAGGCTACATCAACAAGTTGAAGTTTTCTTTTCTCGGGTTACTTTTGCAGTTCTTTATCAGCACGAAGCCATTGTGAGGTTCTGGACGGGTCTCCTGAAAGCTTGTAGGGTTCCGCGGGTGAATGACATCGCCTTTGCCTGGGGCCGATCGTTCTGAGTTTCGGGCCGGAGGTGTGGGATGAGTTGAAGACCTTGACAGAGTCTCAGCAACAGGTGGGGTGGACTCCAGGTGGACCGGCGTCTTCCCGAATTGGCCTGCTCCTTCCAAAAGCATTGAGTTATATATTATATAGCCGGAGGCTGCGCGAAGAGGTCGTTAGCCAAGCTGAGTGCGTAGTGACCATAGATTTGGTCATAGGTCATGAGAACATTAAGTAAGTTGCAAACCCTCTCGCACGAATCCACCTCCTTCTTTCAGGCCAAATTTGGAAGCACAGAATTGTTCATTGTTTTCGCAGATTTGTCACCAGTCTCAACCTTACCCGGGCGCACCTCATCCAATTTGGCCCATGGCAGACCAATGTGTACATCAAGTACCTGATGCAGCATGTGGTTGGGAGGGCAGACCATGACCCCATGGTTGCTGTGGTGGCGTGACATAGAGCATTTGAATGAGCAGGGTCTTTTTGTAAGCTACCAGTAGCTTCTTGGTACCAGGAGTAATGCCCTTGTTACTAGTAGCGATGCACTTGTCACTAGTAGCGATGCACTTGTTACTGCAATGTTCATCAATGTTTCACTTCAGCCGCGGGAGCTGGTTCGTAGTTTCATGGCCCCCTGTTCCTGGCGAGTAGTCAGCCTGGTCGAAGACCAGATGGGACGTTTGGAGGGCTTATGAGTTCACGGCGGCGGTCAAGACTTTCTTACCCACTGCAGCACTGACTTTTTGCGTTGCGCCGGAGCATACTAGACGATGAATGTCAAGACATGTTCCGACTCAGAATCTAGAGGAATGAATCTACTGTAATTACTTGGGAGCTTTGTGCAGATGAAGCCTTTGGTGGGTGATTGTGCAGATTATATAAATCTTTGTGCAGATGAATGACCTTGCTGCCTGCACTTGCTCAAGCTTGTTTGGGGCTGCAGGGGCGGTGAAGTATTGCCATGGGGAGCCTAGAAGCAGATGGTTTGGTGAGCTGGGACGAATCCGGAGGCCCGGTTCTGCCCAAACTGTACTGGTGCTGGCCCATGTGTGAACAGGTATCCACAAGTGTTTGCGTTGCGTTGGGCAGACCCATCCCGGTGCGCGTTCTCACTGACCGCCACCCCAATCCTTGCGCCAGGATCGGTGGCGCCGACCGACTCGCC